TATATATATATATATATATATATATTAATATTATAAATGCATACGCAAAACTTTTATTCTGAAATATAGCTGCCAAGTGATGACCTTATTGTTTGCAATTAACCTTTTTTTTTAGTTATTATACATTAAATATATAAATTGGGTTAGTCCTTCTCTCAGGTCCTGTTATTATTATTATTATTATTATTATTTTGCTGTTTTCATAAAATAGGCTATATTTATTTTAGTCAAGCTTTTATGATGTTAGGGACTCGTGCAATATTGTGAGAGCTTGCAAGATGTGATGATCACTCTCAAAATATGTATTGGGGATGACTTTCAGCTACTACAACACCAAATGTAGCTCAACATATGTAAAACTGACAGAGTCATATTTGGCAAGCCATATTTGTTGTGTCTAAGAACAAGTCTGTACTGGTCATCTTGAATTGGGTTGACTCCAAAAACGTTAAATAGTTCTGGGATTTGCTCTCAGGTCTGTCCAACAGGTCACAAGATATTGTGCTAACAGACAGACATCCAATAAAAGCCAATAGTTAGCTAATAATTAGAGTAATGCCTAAGTCGTAAGCAAAGACGTAGAGCTCAGACTGTGTTGTGAATGACTCTCATCTAGTATCTACCAGACATGGTGTGTTATAGTCGTTTTGGTTTTTCTTGATGTTGTTGTCTGTGGTGGCCATTGTGAACTGGGGTCATCCTAAAAGGTAACGAGCTGAAGATGTAAATCTAATGATTATTTACTGAAAGGTTCATTAAAATCCGTTCAGCGGGTCAGGATATGTTGCTAACAGACAAACAGAGTTAACTCCAAACAACTATTAGCATCTTGTTAGCACTCAGGTCAGCATCAGTCTCAGCTACTACCACGTTAAATTGTAGCTTGAATTCTATTCAGCTCAGTTTATTCATTTAGCGCCAAGTCACAACAGACGTGGTCTCAGGGCACTGAACAGAAACATTCATATATACAAATATTAATTTAACACTATTTATCCGAGGAGCATCCTGCTTAGAGTTTAACTCCATCGCAGAACTCTCATCTTGAGCAAGCATGAAGGCGACGGTGGAAAGGAAAAACTCCCTCGTGATGAAGAAACCATTAGCAGAAGAACCAGGCTCAGCACAAGCGGCAGAACTATAACCAGTTCTGTTTAAACTAAAGTCAGCTGGCTGTGGCAGCCATCTTGATTCCAAAAGGTTAAGAGTTGCAGGTGTACATCTAATGATTATTTCCTGCAAGTTTCATTAAAATGCGTCCAGTGGCTCATGAGATATTTCGCTAACAAACGGGGG